GAATGGTGGAACAGAGTAATCGAAATGGAGAGACCAGAGGAAAAAAGTTTTGATCGGTAATATAACCTAGGTGACATAGAGTTAAATACACATAATGAAACTGCTTTTATATATAAGGTAAAAAGGAACTGGGGTGTATGTGGGGAGAGCGGAGAGCACTGACAATCTTTTGTATTTAAAATAATAATAATAATAATAATAATAATAACAACAACAAATAATGTATTGGCCTTTATGCCCATTTGTAGTGTGTCATAAGCATAATTACATGCTTCTAACATTGGCACTGTGTGTGTGATATGTGGAGGCTCCAGTCAAATCTCCAAATGGACAGCCACAGGTCTGACCTGCTGCCTCTCTGCTTCTTGGATAACGGCTACTCCCCTTCCGGCCTCACTACAGTGGGACGCCATGGAAGAGCCGCACACTCTTAGCTGTGAAATGAGCATTCGTTCTGCCCTGAAAGCCACAGTTGCAAAGAGTTGCCCTGCCTTTCTCTTTTCAGGGTCTGCATCATTGGTTTGCTCCCAAAAGACATTTCACTGTATTAAATACTCCCCACCTTTGGGGCCTCTGCTTTTGTTCAGATCGTATCTTAATGATCCTGTGAAACTATTTCTGTCTTATTAAAGTAATATTTGTGGTTATACACATTAAACATGGGAAGTTTGGAACTTACTTTCCATAGGAGGAGGAAAACGTCATACTTAAGTTATGAAGACTTGGAAAACAAACACTCTCAAACTAGCCATTGGTGATAGTTTTCATTTATATCTCGTTAGTGGACTTTCTTTGATAGATTTCATGACATACAAAAATGCAGTTAAAACTCGCAGTAGAAATTAACTTGATCTTTTAAACAAACATCCCAACAAGGTTATTAGGTAGCATTTATTAATTATTTGCTATAGTTGAGCTCCCGAGACCAATTTTTAGAATTGCTATAATTTCAGAAACTCAGCTACCTAAAATTTCCAGATATATTTTACTTGTTTTAAATTTTCAGCTTCAGAATGCCCCCCAAATTTAAAGAACTGACACAAATAAATATAACCAGTTTCTTTCATTCTGTCCAAATACTTCAATGGCACAACTGTTTCAAAGTGCATTAATGACTTTTAAGGCTATGTTTATGATATTAACACAAAAATAAAGCTAACCACAGGAAACATTACTTTCCATAGCTGGGATAGATTTCAGCCACAAACATAAAAGGTCAGGCATACAACCCAATGGGAAGACTCTCATTAAGGCATATGTGCAGCTTGTTTATAAAATTAAAAATGGCTTTTGGCATAATTTAATTTTAAATTTTGAAGTCCTTGATGAAATATACCAAGTAGTACTATTTAGGCCACTAACTTAAAAAAAAAAAAGTAATTATGAATTTAACAGGCAGCACACAAGTCCAATGCTAAAATAATCGCAATTGTTTAACAAAGGAGAAACTGGATGGATGTCATGGTGGATGTATCCTAATGTGACACAGGTCAGGAAGGAATGCTGATGCTTTGCACATGCCAGTGTGTGTGTGTGTGTGTGTGTCCTTCCTCTCCTCTTGTCTTTCGGTGAACCAAAGCTAGAGCATCAGAGTAGAGATAAATGGGGGGGGGGGGGGGGGGGGCGACACACACACACACACACACACACACACACACAAGGACTAGAAGAGATTACAGTGGTTTGGGGTATTTTAGGGAGGCCAAGGTCATATATTTTGGTGGTAGGATTGAAAGATAAAGGTTCACTTGGGACTTAGGGACTCAAGAGATGGTGGGTGTGGCCAGACAAGGAATCTCCAGACAAGCACCACTGAATCCTGATACCTCAGCCAGAAAGCACAATTAGAGATATCAGGTTGTAACTCAGTGGTGTTTAATTACCTTTGATGGTTTTCCTGTCCGTTCCATCTTCAGGATACAATAGCACCTATCAGAAAACCAAGGTGGTGGCAACACGATGTTGCTTGTACCAAAGGTCTGAGCCCTCTGGGTAAGTCCGCACGCAGAGGTTCTTAGGAAATGCTAAGCTTCACTGTGAAAGGGATGCTTCACATTATTCCACAAGTTATAACCGTCCCAACAAACCACCAAACCTGCATACCATCTCATCTATTTTTCTATAGATAACGGTGGCCATTCATAATTGCCAAGATATTGCTTCTTACTTTTCACAATGGCATAATTAAGTTCCTTTGTGCAGCAACATGCATGAACACGGATAGTGTTTACCAGAAAATGGGACAAACATTATCAGTTTGGTTATTTCATTTAAATCCCTCAAGTTTTAAAAGGAGGCTATCCAAATATCAATGAATCTTCCTTGGATATCTTATAGATATCTCATTAAATTTTATTTTTTATTAGAATGACATTAATTTTCTTTTAGATGTCTTGGCAAAGTATTTATTTGGCTAATTAAGCGCGAGTAAAACTATCCTGCAAAAGACGCTTTTCTTTTAAAATTATGCACTCCTATATAATCTTTTTTTTTTCTCCAAGAAAAAGATCTCAAATATACAGTCTCTATGATCTCATTCACAGAAAATGCATTAACATTGCACTACAAATGTGTTATAGAAACCAAATTTAAGAACTTATGGAAATGTTAACACGAAGTGACAACAATTTATGTAGAGGACCCTCACTGATGCTTTGTACTAGAGAAGTAAAAACTGATGTTGATATCAACAGGGGACCAATTAAATAAATTAAAGTACAGCCCCACAGTGGGAGATGTTGTAGTAATTTATAAAAGAATGAGGTAAGTCTTATTTAAACCCTTATGGAAAGGTGTCTACCAATATATAATAAAATGGAAAACAGTCACAGGACAGTAAGAATGCTGATATTCTGTCTGTATAAAACTAATACACACACACACACACACACACACACACACACACACACACAATTGTTAGTATATCTGTAGAAAGTGTCTGGAAGGACACATACCAAATTACTAACAGAGTCTACCCCCAGAAAATAAGGAGTGGGTTAGGTAGAGAAAGTTGTATGTTAGCATTCTATATGACTTGATTTTTTAAAAAAACGTATATATTAAATTTACAATAAAAACATATAAAAATGAGAAGCTTTGGATAGAAAGACATTTTATGTGTACGCTTCCTTCTCTAAAGCAGTTTTTGTAATTCATTCCAAAAGTTATTACTATAGTTTTAACTTCAATGTTGGCACTGACATATAAATAATCCTTTTTTTTTTCCTTCTTTCTTTCTAAGATCTTAATGCCACTTAGTTTTAAAAAATCACAAATTACAGTAAGTCACCAACAATAAAAGGCCCCATCTATAACAACTTTTAAAGAGAAAACACACATACATTTTTTTTTTTAAATCCATGCTATAGAAAAAGGACAATCCTATGTAACACAGTGCATGCTTGCTGAAGCATTGATGAAACAGCCTTCACTGGTAACAAATACCACTTGGTAATTGGAAAATTGGAACGTTTCCAAATAATATAAAAGTATCTCCCAAAGAATAGTTATTCAAAGAAAGAAAGAAAAATCCCTGAGTAGGCCAAAGGCAACAGACATAACACCTAAGAAAATAGATTATCTAAGACCAGTGAGTATATTATTTAGCGAGTTGGTATATATATATATATGTTTGTGGCATATGTATTCATATGCATCTACAAAGGTATTGTATATGTATACATATATATCCTACATAAATATATGGATAATATATATATACACGTTTCTATAGAAATAGTATATATACAGACATATCACACATAACCATATCCACTAGATTAGAATTATTATATTCACGTATCGTCAAACTAACACCTAAGTCTGGAAGAGACAAATTTACAAAAATTAAGCACTTTAGGAAAAATTACATGGATTTAAGATGGAAATTCTTATTCTCTCGGTTTTAATACTAGAGCATGTAGAATAAGCACTCAATAAATATTTGTCAAATGAATGGATGGATGGAAAGATGATATTGTGAAATTATATAACACATCACTTTTTTCTGGTATCATGTTATCCTTTAGTAATCTGACATTCCAGAACCATAGGGCACACCCTCCTCTAACTAGATATAGCTATTCTGAGTGTCATGCAGAAATTTGAATATCATTGACTTTTAGATAAAATAAAAATCATAAATGTTCTTATACTTTGGAATTCAACAAGACACACTATCCATGTTAATGCATGTTTTCTCACATCATCTATTTCAACTCACACAAGGTTGCTGTGAAATTAATGCTATACCTATGCAGGTAACTAATTTTAAGCATTTGGAAACAAGTGAAAACCAGTCTTCTTAGGGGTCTTTACTTCCCTTCTGCTGATGAACTTTTGTGATGAAAACAAAGAAATAACATAATTTAGTTACGACAACTTTTCAGCTTGTTAAAACTTCCTGAAAATATTTCCTTCATTTTTTTGGTTTCCTTCTCCAAAAACAGTTTATATTTTAGATAAACCCATAAATACCAACTTTTTTTTTTTTAATTTACCCCTCTATGAGAAGATACCAACACATTATTATGCATATGAGCAGTAGACATAAGAAAAAAATATTTCAAAAATAATAAAACTTGGAGACAAATTAAAAAGTGAAAGAGGTAAGAAGATAGAGTAAATGATGCCACACCTTGACCTAAAGCAGAATTACTTGTAATTACAAGTTATTAAAAAAAAATTAGCAGAATGGGGATTTATTTAAAGGCTTACACAGTCTTTTCCACAGCAACCCTGCCATTTAAATTAACTAATTCTCCCTAAAATTTTTATTCATATAGTGAAACACGTAAGCCAAAATATAAAACTGAAAGACTGAATGTTGAGGTCTTGAGAATTTCCTAAAACTAGTCAATCAGTTTTGTCAGCTTATAAAGTTTGATAATCCTTGGGTGACAAGGCACACATTTGTGTGTGTGTGTGTGTGTGTGCGCATATGTGTGCATGTGTGTGACAAAGAGAGAGCAAGATAATAGAAAAGGGTCCACAATCGAAAGAGCCTGTTGTCTAAATGGACTTTAATTCAGTACATTCTCAAATTACGCTCACAAAGGAACCATCATCTTTAAAGAGATCTACGAAAATGTGGGAAAAGAGTGTAGAGGCGTGGAAGTTGACCAGTACAAGGTCACTGGGTCGAATTTCAATACAAATCTTTATACACACACACATTCACACCCCTACACGTATACACTTCAGTAACTCATGATTCTTTTCAACAACTTCATTAGTTCCCTTTGGGCACTGAGATTTTTAAAATTTTTTTTTTAAACAATGACAGCATCTGAAGGAGGAAGGAATTACTCTGCGTGGGCCACAGAGGAAAGCAGGGTGAGTGGCCTTGCTTGTTGGGACAGGTGGCACTTTGGCTGCTCACACCAAGTCTCAGAGATGGGCTGGAGGAGGGTTCAGGTACAAAGACAGTCCAAGCAACTCTTGGGAGAGGCATGCTCAGACAGTGCTGGGGGTAACTGGTCCTCACGCAAAATAATTTCTCCCAAGACCCATGAAGAAGATCAGAATTATGACACAGGTGTTTAGAGTATATGAAAGTGACCATCTTATAAAAGCAGCAATCAACACCAGGAAAGGCCAGGGTACCATGTGGGGAGTGCAACAGAGCTCAAGGCATGGTGACTTGCAGAGAGCCACGGAGACACGGATGGCAGAAGGGTCCTCTCGCTGTGTTTCAAGACGCAACTCTCAGGCGGGTGTGCCATTCTGGATAGCTCCGACCCGGACCAGCTTAGGTAAGTGAAGTGATGTGCACTTCACCAGTGCATCCCTGTCCGTGATCGTTTTCTCTGTTTTTTACAAAGGCAATAGATAGGAAATACAAATAAACCTAGGGATTAAAACAAAACAAAACAACACAGTGAGCTCATTAGAAGGAGAGGCATTTCAGTTTACATAGCTGAAAATCTTCCATTTTGAAAATGATTTCCAAATCATCATAATTTAGCCATATATGAAAGTGAAAAGAGGAGAGATACCTATGGCACAAAATGCATTTACTTCTACAAGATTTCATTCTTTGTTGTTTTTCTTTAGGTCTCTCCCCTCTTTCACAGTCTCAGTGATATCGGTTTGAAAATGGAACAATGTTTTCTATCAAAATATCAAACCTTAGGATTAAGTCTTATTTATTAGCTCTAGTTATACCATCTGCATATTATGATATCCATAATTTAGACAGAATAATGTGTTACTTAACAACATGGGCTGCGGAGCCAAATGTCAGATTTCATCCCCCGCTCTACCACTTAAAAGGCCCAGGAAGCCTTCGTTTCCTCAACTGTAAAATGCAGATAGCAATAGTATCTACTACATAAAGACTGGCTCATTGTAATAAATGTCAGTTACTTTATAATTCCATCTGTCCTACATGTGCAAATTACTCGTTAAATAGAACTTTACATGTGAAAAGTTATAGTATTATTTAGGAAAAAAAATGCCATCCACTATGTGAAAGGCATCAGAGGTGCCTCTACCTATAGCTTTTAACTTAATGTGCTCTACAGCAATGACTGTGAATGTGTGGTCTCTGGTCCTGCAGCAGCAGCATCACCTGAGACATTTTTGGAACTAGAAACCCATGGGCACTGCCCTGACACTGAATCACAAACTGTGGAGAGGGATCCACAGCCTGTGCTTAACCGGCCCGGCTCTCTAGGGTGTTTTAAAGCTAGAGTCTCAGAAACCACTGCTTTCAAAAACGAATTTTACTATGTTTCTGTGCACAAAACTATACAAATCGCTGATACAGTTTTGATTTGTCAGTGCTCAAGTATATGTTGGGTATATGTTCTTATCACTCAAAGGTATCTCTTCCCACCCAGGGCACTCTTTCACTGGAACAAACCAAACATCCAAGGGTGTATGTACCGGAGCCTCTTTTCTTTGATGATCCAACCTGAACTCAGAATTTAAAAATCTGGGCTCTAGGCCACTGGTCTGTTTTATTAAAAGACTAGTTGTATGGAAATCATTATTTAAAAGGTTAATGATGCTTTATAAGATACCTGGTACAAAATGTCCATTGACTGAACAAGTGCCACACAAATACATCCTGTATGAAATATGAGCCTCAGAATCTGTAAATCAGTTGCCTATCTAAAGCAAGCATGGAACAGACATCATGTCCACTTAATAACAGACTCACATTATTACATTTGCACTCATTCTCTATGGCACTCAGAGAATGCCAATCTCAGATATGTTAAGTGTTTCTTACCAATTACAACTGCTATGGCCCCTAGTGCTAATCCCAGGACCAGGATTAGAGGTGCAACAAACAATTTTCCAGCTGGAAAACAAAAGGCAAAACCATTTAGAGTCTTAGAGCAAATCATAATATCCAACCATTTCAGCTATGTTTTTAATACCACAGTGTATATTACTTTTTAAAGGCAGTCTAATTATAAGGAAGGCAGTGATTCTCTAAGGAAATGTATCAGATGTAGAACCATTATATACAGATGTAGGTTTGGTAACTTCACTGCAGCCCTGGGCACATTAGTCCAACATCTCATAAACCATTGATCCTTTATAAGCAAAAAAGTTACGAAGCTACTGGCTCACTTTATTTCCCCAGGACCATTCATCTTTGTGCTTTTCCCTTAGGTCTCTTCCACGTTCAATTTTCAAGATTCTGAAAGATTAAGGAGTGACACAATCTGAGTTGTGTCTCAAAAATATAATTAGCTCAGAGAACAGAGAGCTAGTAGGTGCTGTAGAGGGCTCAGCCCAATCCTACCTCTGGAAAAGTGATTTATTTCCTTCCCGGTCCAAAGGAAACAATATGAACACCTAATAAACAACTATAAACAAGATATTGCAGTACTATTTTAGAGGAAACAACCAATAAACATACAATATATCGGAAGTTATTTAAGTAAATCATCTTAACAAATTTTAAAGGGAAGCTCTCTATAATAAGCACTAAGGCTAAATGTTGATAAGGATGCCAAAAGGCATCCATCAGTCTTTTTTACCCCCTAAATAGATAATTGAGCACTGATTACAATAAACTCCAGGTATATGCAAACACAGCAGAGTTCACAATCAGAATCCCACGAACTCTGAAAGGCACTAGCACACACACAGAAGCCTAACAGTTAATATCCTGTCGTTATGTCTTAATCAATCATCTTCACCCTAAGGCATGTGACATAGAGTGTAGATGCAGAGCCCAGACATACGAAGAGATGAGGAAGGAATGGAGGGACTTGGCAGTAGAAACACTTAGCTGTTTAAAAATAAAGCAGCAACACTATTCCACAGATGAAGGACAGTAATTTGGAATACCCAATTACATAAAAACAATAGAAACATAATGAAGCCAGGAAAAAATGTCAGTATTTTTATTCTTAAGAAATGGTCTTTTGGAACCATTTGGTATCATGACCAGACAGATAGAAAATACAGTTTTTAACATGTAATTGTAAAAGATTGCCATTCAATTGACACCGTGGGCTTTACTTACAGTTTTCACCAATGACAGAACCCAATTTAGTAATACTAAATCTCACTGAACAATTACATTTTGTTCATTCTTTTTTTTAAAATATATTTTATTGATTTTTCACAGAGAGAAAGAGAGAGGGATAGAGAGTTAGAAACATCGATGAGAGAGAGTCATCGACCAGCTGCCTCTTGCACACCCCCTACTGGGGATGTGCCTGCAACCAAGGTACATGCCCTTGACCGGTATTGAACCCGGGACCTTTCAGTCCGCAAGCCGACGCTCTATCCACTGAGCCAAATCGGTGCCGGCCATTTTGTTCATTCTTAAAGCTATGTTAAACTGGTTAGAATATATTGGCTTGCATATTTTATTTATTAAAATATGTTTTTATTTATTTTTAGAAAGAAAAAGGGAAATGGAGAAGGAAAAAGAGAGACAGAAACATTGATGACAGAGAAACATTGATCAGCTGCTTCCTGCACACCTCCAACTAAGGACCCAACATGCAATCTGGGTATGTGCCCTGTCCCAGAATCGAACAAGTGACCTCTTGGTGCATGGGTCAACACTCAACCACTGAGCCACACTGGCTGAGCTTGGCTTGCATATTTGAAAAGAATCTGTTTCTCTCCTGTGCATGTAGCTCAGTATGTTAAATCATGTATCCTTTTAAAATAATTATTAGTATATTTTTTATAATAGCAATGAAACGTGACTACAAAGTAACAGCATTGATTTCCCCCCAACCATTACAGAACTCTAAGACTCAGATACATGCTTTTTCTCTCTAGGAAGTAATAAACTTATTCCAATCATGTAATCAATGTTTAAGGCATGTTTAAGTCTACTTTTGAAACTATTTTGAGGGATTAAGCATATATTTTTTTATTCACAGATCACTAACAATTCTTTTAAAATACCATTCTCAGTAGTTAAAATAATGCTTTTTCATATCCATTTATCATATCTTATTTATTCTTAAGCTTAATTTTTACCTTTCATTGCTATTTTAAATTATACTTGCAAATACTGTTGTTGACTATCCAGACACAACATTTTAAAATGTCCTTCACGTTTTACTTTCAAACTCCTTTGCAAAAGAATTGCACTAAATTTCCAATTCATTCAGTTAAGTAGGAAAGTCCAGCATCTATGCCTTCAATTCTAGTTCCAGACTTCTTTGTCCTCTTAAAAATTTTTTATTGGAGGAATGCCATTGTTTTTGCTCATATAAATTATTTGTAATCTAGAAATCAACTAAAGACCTGTATTTTCTTTGCCATTATATGCTTTAATTTGATGCTTTGTATATTTGTATGGAACAATATGAGAATGGAGCATTTTCCCTCACTTCTATTCCCCAAACCATTCACTGAATACTCTGCTTCCTCTCTCCCAGGGAGATGCTCCCCTGTCAGAGGCGGCTAATTGCCCTCGTATCCCTGGTCCCCATTGTTCTCCAGAACCTCTGATCTCTAACTGGCCTTGTGGCCATCCATAATGTAGACCATGGCTCCCACCTCCAGCTGTGAGAGAAGAGCAGCCCCTAGTGCCTCTGTCCAAGGACAGCTGGAGGCGGCGGTCCCTAACCAAGGGAGCAAACTGGGTTACATAAGAACAGCGGGCGGGAGGACTTCCCTAGGATCAATCCTTCTCCCCTCTTACGTGGCAGCAAAGGTGACCCCTGTGACAGAGTAACCCCTTGTCCTGCCTTCTGTGCAGATGGGAGAAGTGGGAGCCACTCCACGGGGAGTTTGGTCCTCGGGAGTCAGAGGCAGCTGCGCTGGTGGTGGAAGGTCTGTGTGGGAGGGAGAGCTTATCCCAAGGCCAGCTGCTCCTGCTTTGCAGGTTTGTTCTGACACACGCTCACACACTCCGAACAGAAATCAGGCCCAAAAGAAGATCATTTACAGAAAGCTGACTGTAGTGTTTTTAAATAAAAACAGAAAAGAAGGAACAGAGAAAATATTTCCCTGCTGACAATGTCTATTCTATGGCAGTGGTTCTCAACCTTCTTAATGCCATGACCCTTTAATACAGTTCCTCATGTTGTGGTGACCCCCAACCATAACATTATTTTCGTTGCTACTTCATAACAGTAATTTTGCTACTGTTATGAATCATATTTATCTGATATGCAGGATGTCTTAGGCGACCTCTGTGAAAGGGCAGTTTGACCCCCAAAAGGGTCGTGACCCAGAGGTTGAGAACCGCTAGTCTATGGGCTGTGTAATCTACAGGCTGCTAAATAACTAGACTCTTGCCTGAGAAGAGGATTCTAGTGAATGGAAGGAAAAGAACAATCATGCCACTAAATGGCACTGAAGAAGGAAGAAAAGAACGATGCAAAAAAATTAGGATTTTGTGTGTTTAGGTTGTTCTCTGCATGCATAGACTTATAAATAGGTTACAACTCAAACTTAATTTGCAATTAGTTTTCTCATGGTATTTCTATTATCAATAGCGGTTAGATTCCCTGGATATCCCTCCCAAGTCTATTAAACTGATAAATATTGGTTATATAATTACATCCTACACCACATGTGTCAAACACAAGGCCCGCGGGCCAAATCCGTCCCGCCAGGCCTTGCAATGTGGCCCACACCGCGCTGTCATCACTGCACTCCACTGCGTTTCCATCACAATGACAGTTTATGACTGTTCAGTAAACCATTCGGCCCGCGATTTAGGCTGGATTTTAGATTTTGGCCCCTTCTCTGATTGAGTTCGACACCCCTACACCATTATAAGCAAATCAAATACTTGAAAATTATTAAAACCAATGTTGACTATATTGAATTATGTTGGCTATGGAAAATTACATTTGAAATTCCGTAAGGACATTTTTATAGAGGTTATACAAGGTTTTAGAAAATGATGGCACTGGTCTCCATAAATTAAAGTGAATTCTAAAATACATGTTCTCTTTTTTACCTGCTGGGAATGGATCCTCAGCACCGGCTTAGGCCTGATTAACCATCATACGATTCTGGAGAGAGGAGTGGTTTACAACAGCAGTGATGGAGGGCTAAAGAGAGCTCTACAACAGTTTCCTGAAGTCACCAGACAAAAGGAGGTAGAAAGCGGGCCATGTGGAAGATGTTAACAAGTGTTGCCTGTATAATACATGGGAAGCTACCACAGAAAGACACAATGGAGTCCTTTGTGAGGAAGAGAGGAAGAGATCCGCAGTGGGTTCATTCCAGGGGAGTGCAGTGCTATTGAAACAACTAGGAGGTCTGAAGAACTGCCCACATGAAGGTGGAACCAGCCCAGAGCAAAAACCTGTGTTTATGTTTACATATTTGTGTATGACATTGTGTGCTGTTGAAGATTAAGAGGGAGGGAACACTGGGGTTTGTATGCTCTGAGGGCATTTGCTACTCAGTACATTAATTGTTAGCTATTAATACATTAGGAAAGATATACAGTGACTTTATCAACTATTTGGATACAACGAAACTCCATTAAGGGCTCTGAAACATATGGATTTTTTTTTTTTTACTGTATAGCATTTCCTCTATGAATAAAGAGAAGTTAGGTGTAAGATTCACTGCTAGGTATTGTCAATATAAAAATAAATGTGACGTTTCTCTCAATAGGTGCCTTACAATAGGTTACAGAAATTTAAAATTAATTTTACATTTCTGCAGAGTAATGAACAATTTGTGTTTTGAACAAAATCTGGTGGCTCATATAAGACGATCCTGCCAAGAAACTTAAGTTTTTCATTGTAAACTCGAAGGGAGAGAGAATATCTCCCTCCTGTTTGGGGGCAAAGGCCCCACTTGGCTAGCTGGTAGTGGTCAGCATTACCGTGGCTATTCCATTTCTGAGTTCTGCTATCACTGCCCACTTCCCCAGAGAAGATTCCTCAAGGTCATGTCCCGTACTTACCACAGACCGACCCTCGCACGAATCTCCTTAGATGAGGTCTCTCTGGGAGGTAGCGATATTTGCATCCAAATATACTGAGGTTTGATGTGTGGTCTCCAAAGAAACGGAGCTGGCGGTATCTCTCCCCACATCGATAACAAAAATTAGTGTTACACTGTGAACAGGTCATGTGATCACACCCTTCAGTTCTCTGGATGTGGATCTGTGTCAGCAAAAGAGGGGAAGGAAAGGAAAGGCGATTAAAACTTTCAACAAGTAAATCTGGCAAATGTATGAAACAACATCTGCAAGTTTTGCCACCAGATGAACCTTTCTTACACAGCAGTCCTGAGCCTTTCAATTTGCTTGCAATCATGTTCTCCAGGATCGTCTTTGTGTCAAACACTTCATGTGTGCAAAGCTCAGTAACATTTCAGGTACTCATGCTGTTGGCTGGTTATGACTAATGTTTAAACTAACACATCCCAAAGAAAGTTCACATGCTTTCCTAGACATACACCCAACTCAATGGTCAGGAGGCATTTTAAAATGCTGGGAAAGGGGATGTTGTGTAAGCTGTGTCCAACAAGGTGACTGCGGGAATAAGAGGAGATAAAGAGCCGAAACCGGTTTGGCTCAGTGGATAGAGCACCAGCCTGCGGACTGAAGGGTCCCAGGTTCGATTCTGATTAAGGGCATGAACCTTGGTTGTGGGCACATCCTCAGTAGGGGGTGTGCAGGAGGCAGTTGATCGATGATTCTCTTCCATCGATGTTTCTAACTCTCTCTCTCCCTCTCTGTAAAAAAAATCAATAATATATATATATATATATATATATATATATATTTTTTTTTTTTTTTTAAAGAGGAGATAAAGAGTATTCCTTAAAAGCCCGTATTATGTAAAACTTTTTTTCTGAATAATCATCAAGGAGCAGAAAGCTGTGTGTGTGGAAGGAAATGTTAGGAGCTAAAAGTGTATTCATAATACCATTTTAGTTTCCGAGTATCATTTGCAAATATGTGTATAGAACTGTTTACAGAATTCTATTTGTGCAACTAACACCTTCCTCAATTGTTGCAGCCAAGTGACATGAAATACAACTTCACCCTTAATGCAACAAGGCTCTTATTCTTGACTAGTCCACTGTATACCCAATGCGGCAGTCACTGTCTCAGCACTGACTTTACTCTTTGAGATATAACTGGATACTTGGCACAGACAGAATCCTCATAGACACTCATGAATTGGCGCCATCTTTCATTCCAGGATGTGCACACTCAGTTTCCCAGATGAGCATTCATGAAAGAGAACTTAGTATTTCATAAAAAAGGTTTGGTAACACTGTCCACTCTCATGTGATTGAAACAGGACCAATAAAAGCAGCCTTCCCATTTCATTATGAGTAGGCACTTACTACATTCAAGCTACATCCCACTTATTCTTATCATACATACATTTTTAATCATTGTATCTTTATTTAGGAAATTTATTTAAAATGTCTCCAATACCACTTGACTATTGAGCATTTCAACCCATGACACTGCTTTGGGACTAGTGTTCAGTGAATATTTTAATGCAATTGAGAACGTCACATGTAATCATGTGAGTCAAAACTTCCAGTGGTGCTGAAACCAGGTTGGCTCAGTGGCTAGAGCATCAGCCTGCAGACTGAAAGGTCCCAGGTTCAATTCCAGTCAAGGGCATGTATGCTGGCAGCTGATTCTCTCTCATTGATGTTTCTAACTCTCTATCCCTCTATCTTCCTCTCTTTAAAAAAAATCAATAAAAAATATTTAAAAACAAAACAAACCTCCAGTGGTTGCTTGACTCTTTTTAGTTAAGCTTTGGCCACAGTCCATGACTTTACATATTTCATTAAAAATAATGTTCACAGAAACCAGTTTGGTTCAGTCGATAGAGCATAGGCCTGCCTATCTATCTATCTATCTATCTATCTATCTATCTATCTATCTATCTATCTATCATCTATCTATCTATCTGCCTGTCTGCCTGCGCACCCATCTGGAAAGCTTCTAGAGGACAGTGACAATTTTGAAGAGATAATAACTAAGTACAGGGCAGCACATTACAGGCACTTAACCCAAGTTCTGTGAAGGGACCAAGGAAGAACAGTGCACTAAGTTTCTGACAGGATGCTAGGTATTCAAAATCATGAGGTGGATTGTAGGTTAAATATCCATTCTCTCCCCATGGCTGATTCTCAGCAGGTAACCGTTGGCCACATAGGGAGGTTGAAAGAGCCTGAGTTTTGATTTGAAGAAGCTCTCTGTTTAAATTCTGCCTCCACTAGCTGTATAAAAAAGTTACTCGAGCCCGGCCAGCATGGCTCAGTAGTTGAGAGTCGACCTATGAATCGAATGTCACAGTCCGATTCTGGGTCAGGGCATATGCCCAAGTGGTGGGCTCAACCCCCAATATGGAGCATGCAGGAGGCAGCCAATTAGTGCTTCTCATCATTATGCTTCTGTCTCTCATTCCCTCTCCCTGCTTCTCTGAGATCAATGAAAAAAAAAAAAAAAGTTACTTGACTTCTCCCAAGCCTCATTTTCAATACTACTTAACGTGATAATGCATGTACAGGGCTCAGCCCATTGTTTGACACCTACTGAGTCAGAACAATGTAATACTGGTTCCCCTTTATGCACTGAAAAATTCGAGTAGCGTGGGCGATGCAACAGCTCACCTCCTGATTGCCAGGTGGCCCCTTCCTCACTTCTTGACATGGATAATTCTTGGGCAGATGCTGAACTAGACACCACCTTCTATGGTGAAGGGCAAAGAGCATCTGTGGTCAAAGGTCACTAACAACTCATTATTTGGTCAATATAGGCAATACTTACTTTTTCTGCTATTGGACAAACCATCCTTTTAAAATTGTATCGAGCCCTGGCCGGTTTGGCTCAGTGGATAGAGTGTCGGCCTGCAAACTGAAGGGCACATGCCCAGGTTGTGGGCTGGATCCCCTATAGGGGGCATACAGGAGGCAGCCAATCAATGATTCCCTCTCATGATTGATGTTTCTCTCTCTCTCTCTCTCTCTCTCTCTCTCTCTCTCTCTCTACCCCCCCCTCCCTCCCTCCCTCCCTCCCTCCCTTCTTTGAAATCAATAAAAATACATTACCAAAAAAAAAAAATTGTATAGACTTTTTTTCTTTTACCTGACAAGTCTAGTTAGAGCAGATGCTGGATTTATGGGGCCTGAAGGTTATCTGATTGGAGGGCCCTCTTTAAGGAGAAGAATGTAAATTACAAACACAAATGAGATACGAGTCTAAGAAGGGACTTGGCAGGCGAGGGTCTCTGAAGCCTGAGCTCTTTACCTTTCAGGTAAACTCGGCCCTAGCCCAGCATTCCCCTCTGTGGGGCCTGTTTCTGGGAACCATTCTGAAGAGCGATCCCTGTGCCCGTACCCAGTCAGCACAGTGGCTGGTGCACAGGAAGAGTGCAGGCCAAAGCTCCTGCTGGACCTTGGCACCATTTCTGATTCCTCTTTAAACCACCTGAGCATGTTTACAGAGAACGGCTGAGCAGCCAAAATAAAGTTCGTCATACATTCAACCTTTTCCTCCTGGGCTGTATTTGATCCTGAAATGGAGACAATAAAGCTTAACTTCTCCTGATCACAAAGCGCAGTGTTGTGTTTGACTAGCAGAGAGAAAAGGACTAATATTTGCTTAGAGCGCATCATGTGCCAAGCATTATACACAGATTAGCACCTTTAAGCCTCACAACTGAACCATGAGACTGGCATTCTTACTCATAACCAGAGCTCAGAAAAAGTAAGCTGCTAGAGTGAATAGAGAACGGTTTTGATTCATGTCTGTGTCTTTATCATGCTAAGTAGCCTCTTATTATGAACTTAAAGATAAAATCAGAAGTCAATCATATCTTTGTTAAATGACAGAATAACCTTTGCATTAGTCAGACTGACATGCTTCCAGTCTCCTGCACAAGGCAAATCTGAGTCTTTCTGCTTGTTTTAGCTTTTCGGGGGGGTGGGGGGGTGGGGGAAATACCAGCTCATTTCTTCCTTTAAAACAGTATCAAAGCTTTTTCTGACAAGAAGATTGTTCTAGTAAGTTCAACTTGTCACCAACAGTTCATTTTCCTCAAAATTTCACCCACCATTTGTCACATTATATCTGTGTAATATTGCTTCATCGACTTCTAAAATCGTTATGGGGCAAATTAACTTTTTCATTAAAATCACAAAGACAGCAATGTATAGTCTCTCTGAGCAGTTTTTCCTTATTTCTAAAATAATATTCTGAGCACAGCAGGCAAAATATTGTTGGTCCAATATTTCTGTACAGGAGGTGATAAAATTCCAAGTTCTGACAATACTCTATAGTAACCTTGTACATTGCAGGATTATATGGTTCTATATATTAATTTGACCACTTCATACACACAAAGTAATGGTTTAATCATGAGAAAATAATTTCATTAATTTACCAACTATTAAATACATAGTACTACTTCCTTTAATATTACTGTAAATATATTTTGATTTTATGAAAATATATTATATCTTGATACTAACAAAAACAAATTGATACAATGTAAGTTACTGTGCAACAGGGGATATTACTTTTCACATTTGTTAAGTAAGTTGTAATTTTGGTCTAAAACCCAGGGAATAATATATTTCATATGCTAAATGAGTTCCCTATATATTTCATTCAAGAGCACATTTTGACAATGCCATCTTTATTTTTAAAATATAGAGCCTTAAAATGTAGGCTTAAATTACATTTACATAAATTATTTTATCAAACTGTTTTTATTATAGTTTCAAAACATTCATTGACTTAGCATGGCTAAAACAATACAAATAAATCACCCAGTGGCTATAATTTAGAATCAAAATTTTGTTTTTACTTAAGAGACTGAAATAGGGTAGGACAGACCAGATATTCCTAATCTATTAGCTTGAACTGACTATTCATAAACCACAAATGTCACTTGGCTTGATATTACTCACAGGGTTTTTCTCCATCTAAATAAATAAGGATGACTGATACTTAAAGGAGTCAAATATTTAAACACTAAATGTTGTGATATACCCCTTTACGCTTACAAGTCATGAGATGAATGTTCAGAATATGCCAGATATTTGTTTAATAGGAGTTTTTGCTATTAAGTTCATAATATAGTAGACAAATAACAAAACAGCCAATTTTTGAGCCTATGCTATT